TATGGGAAGTGTTTAACTTGATAAGAATCCGCACTAGCTCTTGAATATTTGTATTGTCAAGGAATGGTTCTTGACAAAGATAAGTCTTATATGTCAAGAGGACAGTGGGAGTCTAAAAGATTCTGAAATAGTTTCAAGAACTAATCAAGAGTTTTGTTAATCACTAGCCCACGACTTGAGGTTTGTAACCTATCGTGTTCTTATTTCTATGTCTATTCCAGTTGAAAGTTGATTATGCTTGTGAGTTCTATGAGTTCTCAATTGTTTGCATAACAACCCGGAAGCAATGGTTGGCATTGTGCTACCAGGTGGCAAGAAATTAAGATTGCACAAGTTCAGTCCATATGAATTTGGAAGTGTCACTAACCTAGTCATGTGATTATGGTTTTGACAAAATTCACATGGAAAAGAACACATACACCATAAAATCTAAGTGTCATAAGGTTTCTCTTCGATTCATGAAAATGATGGTAAGGAAACGCTTCCACTAAGAAGATTTTAAGTAGATAGCGGTTGTGATATTTGCATTCTCATATAGTTAGTGGAGCGTGCGTGGTTAACCGGCACACTAACTAGTGAGAATTGCAAAAGGTCTAGACAAACATGTGAGCTATCTAAGGAAAGGTGTATGTTTTTGATAAATTCTTATCAAAGCAATCTAGTATCAGAAATATGAACTTTGGTAAGAAAGTCAATAAAGTATTGATTTCTAGAAGTCCAGTTGATTTCTGAGTACATGTCAAAGCTAGTGGGAGCATAAAGTGTTATGCTGGTAATCATTATGCTAGTGGGAGCATGATGATTATGTTAAGTATTGCAAGTTAGCAATGTTATTTATAGAAAACAAAAGTTTCAAGTTGCTTTGAAAGTTGTTTTGCTATAATTAAGGGAGAGGATTCTATACTTCACTCCAATTCTACAAGCTTAGATTGAGAATTTAATCTACTTTAGTCAAGAATATATATGAATGTTATGCTGGAATGGTTCAACATAAGGAAATTCTATATATGTTGCGTTCTCAAAATTCGATTATGATTACGGCATCCCTCTTCATAGTTCGAATTTTGAGAACATGGCAAATAAAAATTTTATAGCATAAATCATGTCCCATATGCTTTGGGTATAGGTTTGATTATATGTGCTATAATATTCATCCATTCTAAATTTTCCAAATGCCTAGGGCATTAAGATGGAAAAAGGAATAGAACTGGAAATGACTAAAGTGATTAAGCAAAATTGTCAAGGACAATCTGAGGTTTACCAAAGATTGGTTGCTCATGGACAATTAGAAGTATAGAGTAAGGACCATATTGACATATTTTGTAAAGAGGCAACTCTTGTTCAGAAGTGATAGTCAAAATGGTAATATGGAATTGTTTCCATAGGTGGAAGTTATTCTTTGAATTTGTGTAAGATTAAAGAACTTAATGCTAAGAAAGATGTTCAAAGGAATGTATCCATGAAATTGTTTCCCATTGGAATACTTTGTAATGTATGTTGCCAAGTCTCTGTGACTTCTGTGCATAGTCGTTACAAGGGGATCATTGCATATAAGTTTAGAATCTAACAGATTACAGTAAATGGCAAGAGTTTGGTATTCTTGCATTTACAACAAGGATTGGAATTGTGAAATGAGCATCATTGGAATATTGACAATTGATCTATTTCACAAAGAGAGGACCATATGTAAACATAGTATGCATACTTGGAGTATGGCATAATTGTTGTTTGGAAAAACATAGTGTACGTGCTTGGAGCATGGGACAACTAATGTTTTAATTCAAGCATAAAGTTGATTAATCGAAACATAAATAATGAGTAATCAATATGGTGTTTAGATAAAAGTTGTTTTATTTACACCCAAGTGTTGGGGCCATATAGGATTAAGTATTATTCTTGTGTTTCACTTTGCATGTTTTGACTTCCAGAATAAATATGTTATGGAATATATCATATTATTCAAACCATCCACAGTCAGTCATATGTTGGAAGTAGATATGAATCAAGACTGTCATGAATTTGGCTTGTATGATTTGTCTAAAGTGCTTTAGACAATGCAATGGTTGCTACAACATTCATGAGTACTCATAAGGGCTGAGTATTGGATTCAACCCACGCTCACTTGCATCACTTCATGGAATTTATCTCGAGTGATCGTGAGACGGTAATATCATATAAATCTTCAAACCTAGAGATATGAGTTGTTGACTATGAGTTGGTTATTCATTGATTGTACGAAAACGCATTGGTAACTCGATGTTATAAAACGTGCCTTTGTGAATAATTCAACAAGTAGTTAGTACAAGCATATCAGTCGAAGTTTATCTGTTCCTTCTAGAAATAGAAGCGATATCTGGGCCCCTCGATGATTTGGTTTTGACCTATGTACCGGGCCCGGTCAGAACCTAATTGATGTGTTCAATTTAGTTCTATGTCGAAACAAATCGGAGATCAAGAAACAAATGTTGGACAATAAGTAAGACCATGTTCCATGTGTTTGTCCGGCTGATATCATGAGAACAGAGGATTATATGATCACTTATCTTAAATGGCGTATCATCATCATCATAGTTCCGAGAGACTTTGAAAGAGCTACGATTGCAAGTCGGATTTTGAATTCGTATTTGCAAATATAGTTATTAGACTTATCCAAGTGGGAGACCATTGGATATAGTGTCTAAGTCCATAACTTTATTTGGTATGAACTTGACCCGACCCGGCATGGTCCATTTGGGTTGCATGGCATTGCAATACTTGGATAGACTAAATGAGAGAATAAGGCACTTATGATTATTAATATATTATAAGTTCTAATATATTAATAATAGTATTATTTAATTAGTATTTGATCAAGTATTAATCTAGAATTAATTTGGTGATCAAAGTGAGACTAATTAAATATATAGGGTTGATTATGACAATCATCAATTCTTTTATGGTGGATTAATGATCCATGGTTTATGGGTTTGGTTATAAGCATATGGAGCTCCATGGATAGTCCATGGGAGTTACAAACCCATGGGTCATGAGAAATGAAGAGTCATGACAATTAGGGTTTACATTTGTAACTCCTAATTATGACACACTATAAAAGAAACCCTATAGCATGAAAAATTGGCACTAGAGTATTCTTGTGAGGGCATAGCCGATTTTGGAGTATAGAAATATTCTCTCTAGTTATTTCCAAGGTTGTAGTGTTGTGTGAAGCATTTGAGGCACAACATTTGGGGTGCTAGGCTCACAACATCTTGAAGGAATCCAAGCGACAACAAGGTATGTATTTCTACTAGTTCTTTATGTTTTATGTAATCCCCATGCCATGCTAGTTAGGAAATAACCTTGAAAAAGAAATTTGCATGTATATAGAGAAAACATAGATTCAAGGTTATTAGGGTTGCATGTACACTAAGGAAGTGTTAGAATGCTCAAAATCCAACACTTATGACTGAGCGACTCTGCCCTAAATCCACAACCAAACGAGGAACAGGAAATGAGGCGACATTCACTCACTCTAGGTCTATCCATCTTAACTATACATGGCCGTAACGTATATGTTTAGCCGTTATAGTTTTACCTGATGAATTTTAAATTTTATAAGAGTGCGGCGACTTTCGCCTTAATGGGAAAGTAATTACATTTAGAGTTAGTCTTGTAATGTTTTTGCTTAGTTATCTGAGATCAAGAGACGTACCAAAATCTACTGGTATCCTTGATGTTTCTCCCCAAGCATTAGAGCTAGACTCCTCTTGTGTCCTTGTCTTTTCCTTCGGTTGGGCAGTCCCTTTTGAAGTGTCCAATCTCACCACATAGGTGGAAACTTGTACTGGTTGCCGCTTTGGTGGTTGATGTAATGAACTCAACTGGGGCTCTGCAGGTACGAGAGGTGTGCCCCTTCCTGTTGCACCTAGCACAGAAGAGTTCTCGACAGATACCATGATGATGGTAGTTGCACTTGCTGCGGTGGGGAAGGTTTCCTAGGTATGGTCTTGTAGGTGTTGGGATGGAAGGGTTGGCAGGGGTATTGACTGTCTCAGCTCGTTTTCTCACGAAAGGCCCTTAAGCCGAGGTACTTCCTTCTTCGTTCTTGAACTTTCTCGTTGGTGGAGTTGGTTGGGGTTCTTGGGTGGCTGGGTATGCAGGTGTTGGTTGCTGCTGTCCATTACTAGGATCGGAAATTCCGATAGGACTCTTGCTAACATTGGCGTTGTTAGCATTCAGCTGAGCCATGACAACTGCTACGGCTGCCGAGACTGCAGCTTGAAACGTAGCTTCATCGAATAAGAGAGTAGGTTTCTTGCTTGTGGACTAGTTACTTTGGAGGCATGGTTGTTCCTACACAGAAAGGAACACAAGATAATGAGAGACGATGGCTAACCCAGGACATATCTGTCCTGACTGTATTAGGCATAAATTTTTCCCGTGCCTTGGGTACTGGTTGTCTGAGTGTCGAACTACATCCCTATGATGTAGCCCTAGTATTCAAGGTAGGAGTATGAGTATCAGAAAAGGCCATAAGATGCGAGTCGTTCCTACTAAGTTACCTTTATATTGGGAAAGGTTTCACTCTCCGGCCTAGAGACACTACTAGAACAACAGCCTTTTACGACGCTCATTGCGCATCGTAAAAGGGTCAGACGACGCGCAAATGCGCGTCAAGGAAGGCCCTGTCATAAAGAGAGACGACGCGCATTTACGACGCTCATTTACGACGTGCGTTTACAGCACGCAATGCGTATCAAGGAAGGCCCTGTCATAAAGGAAGATGGCACGCATTTGCGTGTCGTAACCTTATGACACGCAATGCGTATCAAGAAAATCCCTGTCAAGAAAGGCCATGTCATAAATGAAGATGACACACATTTTTGCGTATCATAATTTTAAATGTTAAAAAAAATATTTTTATAGATTTACTAATTTTCAAATTAATTTTGCATTTAATGCCTCATAATAGAAAATAAATATCATATACAAAAAATATAATCAATTTCATAAAATTTAATGTCATACAAAATATCGTATACAAGAAATAGAATCCATTGCATAATATTTTATTACAAATTTGACATTTTTTTTGTTTCCGTACATTGACAATTTTCCGGAGCCAATTCACGACTGCATTCCAGAGCTGATTCAATTTGTGTCGCTGCTGATTCCGGAGCCAATGATATTAATGTTCAATAAAAAGCGTAAATAATACTTATAGGAAAATTTTATAACAACCAAAACTTACAAAGAACACCATGAGCTATTATTCGTCTTTTGGGGTCTTTAATAAGCATTTTCCTAACCAAATCTTTAGCACTTTCAGAGATACTAGGTCGTGGATCTGAGGAAAAGTCGAGTTTACCCCTCAAAACCTCTTCAAATATCTCATTTTCAGATTCTATCATGAAAAAAAAGAACATAAATTCAGTCACTAAAAAGAAAGTTTAGAGCATTTGATAAGCTATTAACGTATTAACTTATTAGTCTTTTATTCCTTTAGACTTACCTTCCCAAAAAGGTGGGACCCCTCAAAGAAGAATGTAAAGAATCACACCAGCACTCCATATATCTGCTTGAGGACCATAAACCTGAAACATAAAATTAATTTTAAATATATATGATTAGTTAATATCAATATAGTATATAACTTAATATTACAAGTTCAGATATTAGATTTGAAATAAGCTGTAAAATTTAAACTAACTAAAAATGTATAAACTCAAACTTGAAGGACTAAATTGTACAAAGGAATAGTATAACACCAAATTTGGTGCAACAAATGGTGTTTGGTTGGAGTAAAATGGTGTAGCTATTATATATCAAATTGTAAACTTAATGAATTCGCAATTATTAAATGGTGAATACATTTCAATAATTTGTTTTTTTACAATTATATCACCTTTCTATTTTCATATTAATAATCTATATTTATAATTTAATAATTTAGAGTTTTTTTCATAAGTGATTCCTAAAAAAATTATATTCCTATTTAAACATATTTTTATGCCATGGCAGTTAACATTTAGCTAACGAAATCCACATGGTTACGGCCCAGGGACAAACATCATACATATCATAACCAAAAAAGCACATGCTAATTGAATATTGACTTGGAAAACTATAGAACTTATTAGTAACCATCATAATCAATTAAACTCAACACCTCAAACTTCATGAAGGAGAATTCAGTTTTATGAATATGTTCAGCAGCCCTTAAAGACCAAATTAACAATACCGAAAAGACTAGACCCAAAATTACCTTTGATGAAATAATCTCAGCAGTGGCAAGCTTAGCAAGTTTGGTCATATAAGCGGTGTCAACTTCCCCTTCTTCAAGGGCACTGATTGAAATTGACATGACTTTAAATACACCAGCAATATCCCTAAACCTCAGCAAATAACAGGAAAAAAAATTAAATCATGTTTTTTCAAGTCAAATCAGTTAAGTATGCTACTAGTGCAAAGTGCCACCTGACCAGATAACATTTTCACTTGCTCACGAAGGTCCATTTTGGTCAGTAATAGTAGTTCTGGTCTGAAATAGAAAATGATCATTATTTTACCCTTTTGTGTGGAAGTGAGGTTGAATAACAAATGACTTTGTTTTTTACTTAATGCACAAAAAAAAAGACTTAATAAAGAAAGTCAAGACAAAGACATGTAGACTATTGACTCACCATAATCGAACCAACATTTCCTGCAAATCTTTTAAATCCACCAAATCAGATCTTCCTATCTTTTATTATTAAAGTATCAAAATCCAAAAAAAAAAAAAAAAGATAAATTAGTAACTAACACAAATTATCCAACCTAGCATTAGATCCATGATTCGTGGTTTTACTATTACTATGATGCAACTCTCATTACCTGGGGATGTAGGTGCATACCAAAACACTGAAAATTCATCATGTGATAATATTTATATATGTTTTAAAACACTGAAAAACCCTCATTTTTAAACCTAACCTCATTCACTCACTATTTTATATCTATAAGACCTTGTATATTTTTTTAAATTTTTTTCGAAGTCACAGACTCTGGAGATTGCTATCAATTAAGAAGGGGGAGGGGGGGGCACCAGCTTTACCATACCAACTAAATGATATTTTTCTAACAAAAGAACTTCCTGATATTGTGGCATATATTTATTTTTTATGCTAAAACAATCTCTAGGGGCTGCTTTTATAATGCAAGCAAAAAATTGTGTGTATATAAACTAAAACAAGTGAGAGGCAGAGGGAGGGGCTACCCTTTTTTTGTATCATCATGTTTGGGAAGAGAATTCAAGTTCTCAATTAAGTGGCCTGCCAAATTTCAAAAAGTGGGATGAGTTAATAAAGTTATAAAACTGTTGTCCATGTTTACAACCATATAGAATTTCATATATGCCCTTATTAAACATCGAAATATCATATTTATCCGTCCTAATATCTAAATATCATATTTACCCTTCTTAATGTTTTAAAATATCATATGTACCCAAATCTATTTTTTGATATTTTTTTTATTGATTTATAATTCTTATTTATATTCCTAAATCATTATAATTGAAAAACATATTAGAAATTGACAAAATTACCCCTTGATGTCAAAGGATACTATAGCCTCACTGTTCTTTCAAGTGTCAATATTCAAATGCAGTTACTATGCAAGCACCAAAGGTAGCTCCTCCATGCATGATATGCAGGGACAAATTGTTAGTTCAAAGTACATATGTCCCAGAGGGAACAAAGGAGGAAGATGTCACCTCTAACATGGTTGTTTTTTTTTCTGAAAATGTTTTAAGTTCTTTTTTTAATAGTAATTTCTTTACCTGATTTATAAATTTGAACAGTTTGTTAGAGATGGTAAAGTTGTTGATGAAAAAAGGCTTAAATTGATCCTCATATCTCCACCAGACTCACCTGAATCATCACCAATCAATGAAACATTAAAGATAGTGCAGAAAGATGATGATAGAGAAGTGAAAGATGAATTTGTTCAAAAACAAACCTCTCATTCCAAATCGAGCAGCCTAGTAAAGGGCAGTCCAACCATTAATGTCACGAAAGTTGACACCAACTCCAGAGTTAAGAATCGGGGTCAAGGCCCATCCCTCTATCAATTGAGACCACGACTCTTCTTCATCACCTTATTTTTCAGATAATAAAATTTGAATAAATCTCACAAGTAATAATAATTCTTCTGAACTTCTGGAACATTGTTTTACCTCCTCTAGGGTTACTGATTTGTTTTTCAAGGTACTCGAATTCACGGATTTCACTGCATGTAATACAAACAATAACTGTTCCAAGTGGCAAAGGAGGAGCATAGCAACAAAGTACTCCCTCTAGAATAATCTCAATTCGGACTTCAATCTCTCCAAACATACAATACAACTGTCATAACAAGTTAAGTTCCTATGAGAAAAAAGAAAAAAAGAATCCAATTTAGCTTCTAATAAATAAAGGGAACATATAGTTTACCAAATCTATTTGGTTAAGTAAGCGACCATGAGTGCATACCCCAAACATACAAGTGAAACATGCTATTGAAACTATTTTATTTTTATTTTTTTAAAGTTTTTTATTATGAAAGCATTGCATTTTGAAAGTACAATGCTATACTTGGGGTATACTTTCAAAGTTGACCCATTTTTAGCATAGTACAATACTTTATAAGTAAAAATGTTTATTTTAAACATAAAAAATAACCGTAATTGTTACTTATTGATCCTAACTGTTCTTTTTTTTTTTATAGGTAGTAGAAATAAGAGGATATATGAAAGTCAAACATAATGTACATATTTTTTGTTACTCGTTGATCCTAACTGTTCATGGACACTTCTAAAACCATCCAAAATTTAAGCCTAGCATATGAAAAGGAGGAAATCTATTTTCTATCCATGATGCAACCTTCTTCTGTTCATAAAAATAATCATAAATCGACATAAATGTTTAATAATGAAGGTGCATAAAGTTGCATGTTAATTGATGTGTAGGGACAGGATGGTCTTTCTAATCCTTTTAACATCCTTTACAAAGTGAGAATTTATGTATATAAAAGTTTTTATGGTAATTAATAATCGTCAATGAACCAAACCTTCTTTTCATTTTCCAAAAGTTCTCTTATTGGATGATTTGTAGCTGCCTGTTAGTAACGAAACACACAAAATTATATATATATATATATATATATATATATATATATATATATATATATATAGAGAGAGAGAGAGAGAGAGAGAGAGAATAATAACCTTCAGGTCACTCTCCGAGTAGTCATCTGCCATTTTCCACCGATTTAAGATCAATATTTAGTACTAATTCCTCTTTTGTTAATATGACACTTAAAATATTCTCTCGATTTGGGGAATCCAACAAATTAACCATCAACATGCACGCCAAATAGCACCAGATATTATATTGAGCATCCATATCTGTCAATTACCTATAATGCCCTTTTCCATAATAGAAAAAGATTACACTTACCTCTTAGGTTGTCTCTTGATTAAAGGCTCATCAAGATCAAAGGGTCTATTGGTGGCATTAATCTATCCTTTGTTGCAAACCATCCCTGTTTACCATAAATCGTTTTTCTTTTTGCACGTTGCTTCAAGTTCCCTTGGATTTTCACATCTACCCAACATGTTGTCCACCTATTACAAAAAAATCATTATTATTTAAGGAAATAAAAAAAATTGATAAACAAGAAAAATCGGTTATAAGCTTTGTAACAACATCATCAACAAACACAACACTCGGAGAGATTTTAGTGGGCAGATTGAAAATAACATTCATATACTTCTCCCCTAATACCAAAACAGGTTTGGATCCACATCTCTGTTTGGGTGTCACAAAATCGTTAAGTCGCCGTTAAGTTTATAAATACCCACACAACTTTTAACATCAATATAAACGCCAAAAAGGAAAGATAAATGAATAGCAGTAGTTTCGGTAAAAGAAAGTTCAGAAGTACCTCTAAAATCAAAACAGAAAAAAGAAAATCAAAAATGAAAAATGAAAGAAACATAGATTAGCAAACCCACTACTAACGATTGATTTAAAAAATGCAAGGGATCTTTACCTGTGTCTCAAAGAACAAAAGAAAATTGGGTTTGCTTTCCTTGCTAGATATGTGGATCTGAAAAAGGAAAAGAACACACATGTGATATAAGATTTAATCTTTTTATCACACAATGATGAATACATTTCATCTCTTTACCCAGAATCCTAAGCGACCATGTAGAGAGAGAGAGAGAGAGAGAGAGAGAGAGAGAGAGAGAGAGAGATAGAGAGAGAGAGAGAGACCTTACTCTTTAGTCGGGAATGACTACTTCATTATCATACTAATGCTCGTGATTGGTAAGAATTTGTCCTGTTCAAAAACATTTGAAGACCTTGGGCTTAGTTTCCCGCTTTGATGACTCCTGGTGGTGCCTGGACTCCCCAGACTGACGACGTCAATGGTGGTGGTGGGGTGACGACCAGGGTTCTTTGAGTGAGAACATATAGATTTTTTCACGAAGCATGTGAGAATTTTGGAAGGGATGGTGGGGAAGAGGGGGTACATGAGAAGAGATTTCAGGCACAATGAAAAGAGCTGATGATTTTTTTAGGAAGCGTGAGTTGGGGAAGAGGAAGTATGGGAGAGTGGAAAGTCTTGCAAGCTACAGGGCAAAACACTATTGTTTGATGTGCTCTTGTCTACAGTGCTCAACATTTTGACAAATATTAATGTTTACAATTAGCCTCAAAATTGGACAATGGAGTCTTGCAACCTATACTGTAGGGCATCACCTGTTACACAATTGATAATACAGGAAGACAATTAAACATTTTGTAGACTAGATAGTGTACTGAATTGACAATGAACAGATCACGAAAATGATGAATTGAAGAACTAACCTTAAACCCTCTGTAAAAAAGGTATGTGTATGCAGACACATCGACATGTGAGTAATGGAGTAGTAGTGGTGGCCATCATCTCCATTATCGATCGCAGACATTAAGGGAGGGGGATAGCGAACCCTAGAAGGCCATTACATTGAGCAGTCGCACATTTAGAGAGTGAAAGGTAGTGAAGTGGTGCATCGGTGGCTATTGTTTTAGCGATCCGGTGGGGGACTGTGGTGGTCCGATAGGAGCGGAGGCAAGAGCGGATGAACTTGGTTCAAAAAACAAGAAGGGTGATTAGTGTTTTCTAGAGAGAGAGAGAGAGAAAGAGAGAGAGAGAGAGAGAGAGAGAGAGAGAGAGAGAGAGAGAGAATGCAAAGGTAGAGGAACAGGGTTGCTTCAAAAGGATTATTAGGGTTTTTTGTTTGAGTATTTTAGGAGAAGAAGGAGATGAATCAAGTGAACAAGGATTGTTAGGGTTTTTTTGTTAGAGGATTTTAGAAGGAGAAGAAGGAGAAGAATCAGGCGGCTGTTTAATTTTTTGGGATTTCATTTCCCACCATAGATTATTAAAACAACTGAGAACGCACCTTTCTAAAAAATATAAAACAACACATTTACACGACACGCTTTTCATGATAGGTGGCTTCCGTGGTTTTTTTGGACACTAATTTTAGGCGCGCAAAAATGCGCGTCTTCTATCCTTCAAATTTTGGAAAATTAACATTAAATTTTAGGGCACGCACAAATGTGCATCCTCTATTAGTGTGTGATATTAATTGCGCGTCGTAAAAGGCTGTTTTTCTAGTAGTGAGAGATTTGAGAACCGTTTGGAACGAAAACCATAGGAAGAGAGGCTTATGAAGGCTTATGGCTAAACAACCTCAACAGAGGTGTAGGGATCCGCTCTAAACGTGTTACTGGCAACGGGAAAAGGCGATTTTCCTAACACATAGCGTGAGTAGTGTAACCACTAACTCACTAAATTGTATTATTTTATGGGTGTATTAGCGTGACGAGCACGAGGAAAAGACACTTCTTGGGTTCCCTGTACTAGCTCCCTCTGTCTACCTCGTATCCCTGACCGGGACCGACGTTGGTTTCCTTCGGGTAGTTACCTAGGGTTCTCTCCTCGTATGGACTTATTGAATTTCTACTCCGCCTTACTTCCGAATCCGACTCCGGGTGTCACCACTTCATGATAGACGACTGGGGATCTCAGAAGCGTAGGCGAATTTCTCACCGATGTCCCTAAAAGATATAGACACCTGGTGATTTCAATAGTCTAGACCCAGTTCATTAATTTCCGAACTGGAAATTTTCTCAATGAACTTCTTCGGGGCCGGAATCAACTCTTCTGCCGAGTACTGAAGTGGGTAGGGTTTTCTATAGGGTTCGTGCGAGAATGGAAATGTCTAAAGAATCCTAAGAGATTATTAACATTTCAATAGGTGATCCATATCGAGTCCTGCTACGATTATACAGGGTATACAAATCATATATAGCTTAGATCCGATAGGCCTTTGAATATGTGATACTACTCTAGATCTACATCCCAACGAGGAAAAGGAAATAGGGTGAAACCACACATTCTTAGCCTATGGGATCCTTATTATATATAACCTTGGGAGTATACTCTCTGTAATTGTAGGTATATCAATAAGGATCTTTTTAGTTCTTCACACAAGATTAGTTATGGATCCTAAAATACCCCTATGGTATTTTAATTCTTGTTTGTCTCTTATCTTCTGATAATGATTCTAGGATTAATGTGAATCTTTTAGTATTCTAAAATACTCCTATAGTATTTTTAAACTTTATATTTGGCTCTAACACACCTAGTTGGTAAGTTTTAGACCTGTTGCAACATCACTATCACTCCCAAGCACATGTTCATTGCATCTCGAATAAATATAGTTGATCAGGTTACATTTATTCCAGTTTACGATTACATAACTGCCTAGGTTTGACTGTAGTGTTCAACATCCGAAGACTTTTATTCTTGTTCATCTTGTGATACTTGTGTTCGAGTGTTTAGATTATGTATGTTCAAATACTTTTGTAAAATATGGTTATATTTTAAAGTATAATTCTTGGTCAGAGTGTTTTATCCCTATGTATTTATAGGTTGTATATCTTTTATGAATTAATATACTTAGCTCACTATAAACAATGCTCTAATACCAATCTATCACACCCCAAAACCGGAACGGCGGAAACATTCTGGGGTGGATGATGTCATCTCAAGTATCACAACACATGCATTATAGTAATCAAAGTACAACAACCATTGCATTAATAGTAATAGTTTTACATGGTTTACATTACAATACATCAAAATAATACAAGTAATAATATGGGTGCAGCTTGGTACTAAACTGTCTTCGTTAAAAGCTTCGGGGATGTACCTGTCTAATGCTGACCTAAGAATACAAGTTGTTTGAAAAGTGAGTATCAGCATTTTTACAAATGCTGGTGAGTTCATATGTATTTAGTGTCATTTTATTCAAATAACTTTAACAAAAGTGGTAGTTTTAGAGTATCCGTTAAATTAGTGTTTTTTCCAGAAAATCCTATATTTTCTTTAATAAAAGTAGTCTTCTACCAAGACTGGACGGAGTTATGTGGTAAAAAGTGGTTTTCCCTTAATCGCTATCATTATCAAAATACAGAATTTGATTATTAAAGAAAGCAAGAGAAATCAGGGAAATAACATATGCCTCAGCAGTGAAGACTGCTGACTAAGGCAAAAGGAATCATAGACTCCAGGAGAGTATCGAACAAACGACACACCTGGCTCAGTCTAATCAAAGGGAGATACAGACCCCAGATGGTACCAAATGAAAGGTACAGCTAGCAAGGTCTAAAAACAGAGAATACAGACCCCAGATAGTATTCAATGAAAGATACAGCTAGTAAAGTCTAAAACAGAGAATACAGACCCCAGACAGTATCAAAGGAGAGATACAGCTAGCAAGGTCTAAACTAGAGACAGACCCTAGACAGTTTCAAATGAAAGATACAGCTAGTAAGGTCCAATACAGTGAACACAGTGTATACAGTGAAATACTGTGTATAAAACCCGTTGCCTTAAAGCCATGAATTATAAGGTAACCCCGAGATACTCGTAACCATACTGATCGACACTAGAGAATCTTGACGCCCTGCAAGCATCGGTATAATTGTGACATTTGTCACCCCTTGGCTTGGTAGGTCGTGGACTGTAGCTAGCAGCCAGGGTGCGGGGGTGTCAATCCCGTATAGATCTATACACACAATGTCCGCTCTCCCTACAAGAGACTCTGGTTACCAAATCGACAACGGAGTAGGCCGTGTACTGAGGATGTATCTTGTATAGTGAGATTTAGTGTAAAATACTGGATAAGCGATAGAGACTCTCAACTGGACTGACTAGTGTAAACCTATATGTCTATGCCTGTACACATAATATATAACTAATGATCAAACGACCTTTGGACGGACATCCAATCCCACGAGACCACATCTCAACGAAGAAAAGGAAATAAGGCGAACAAGCCTTCCTAAGTCCTTCAAACATTATTTATATGCATCTATACAAGCATAGGCATACATCTAACTCTATGGAAGTGTCATTAGGTATAAGTGTACCACGAAGTGGAAGCGTTCTCAAGTATAAGTGGATCACGAAGTGGAGGCGTTCTCAAGTATAAGTGTATCACGAAGTAGAGTGTCTTACAAGGTATAAGCGTATCACGAAGTGGAAGCGTTCTCAAGTATAAGTGGATCACGAAGTGGAGGCGTTCTCAAGTATAAGTGTATCATGAAGAAGAGTGTCTTACAAGGTATAAGTGTATCACGAAGTGGAGGCGTTATCAGGTATAAGCGTATCACAAAGTAGAGGTATTAACTAAACAAAAGTGAAGCAGTAGTATCTTAACCAAGTAGAAGTATAAAAACATAGACGAAAACTTTGGAAAACCTTTATATATTAAGAAAATCACGACTTGGTATTCCTTTGCAAATTGAGTTTAAAAACCTTTAAAAATCCTTTGAAAACCTTTCATAAACAATTTAAATGAATTTTGATTAAACATTATCAGTAAAAGTTGAACAAGTAACTACGTTTTTAGAAAACCATTTACAGTGTCATTCTCAGTAAAATAGTTAACAGTGTGGTAAATATTGTGCACGCGGGTTATCAATCACATATGATTGATATGATAACTGGCATGTTTAACTTGTATTCCCCCCTATAAAACAGGTAAAAACATATAAAAGGTTCATTCAGGGGTATGAACTCACCTGACGTAAGTGGATCCAACGAAGGTGCCGGTTAGGTGCTCGGTGTCAAGTAATGACTTGGACACACTTAGTGACCTATTTAACATATGATAACATATGTTCACATACAATTAGTACATTTAATACTAATTAAACAAGTATACGCATCCTAAAGTGCGGAAAACACTTTGATTAAGTGTTTGGGGTGTCCCAGGTAACATCTAAGGGCTTGAATGGCTTAGGAATGGAGTTTACTCTTGAAGAGTAACCTCTATATATAGATTTCACGGCCCTAGGACAACTCCCCATGAGTTTACGGCGGTATACTCATGGTGAGGATGTTCTAGGATGCTTAAAGGCCTTATATTAATCGTGGAATTTAGCTAGGTCCGAATCTAAATGTATGAGTGGGTT